ACAAGCCTTTTCCCACGATTGTAATCTGTGACAGCTGCAAGCTCCCTGGAGTTAGTTACAGTTTCCCAGTCTCCCTCTAGGGGGGAAACTTCTAATTGTTCTTGCAACAAAGTTTCTTTTTTGAGATATTTTGTCAATATTTGTTCCTTTAAAATGCGAAAGGGAACATTGGAATCACTATGTTTCTCTTCTTTTAGCTATCTGTCAAAAACGTTTGTCTCTGGTCAATGAGCTTCAAACGTCAGTCCTGACACCCCGCTCCAGGATCAGGACGGTGGAAAGTTACTTTACTTTAAACTCACTTCTGCAGGTTTAAACAGTCCGAAAAGATCCCCTTCTTCTCCTGCTGCCGAAGGGGGGTTCGAGGATTTTAAATGATGAAAGCCGATCCTTTAGAAGCGATTTTCTGAGCTCTAGTTTACGTTGTCTTTGCTTTATTCTGTCTACAAAGAAACAGAAGGCTGACTTCCTGTTTAGACCTTCCCGTTTCAGTACCAAATTGAAGTAAATTTTAAAATCCAATTCCTTTCTGCTCGCAAATCCTTATTTAAAGTCCAATTTGTTCAAAGTTTAAGTACTCATGGGTGCTTATTTTAGAAGCCAAATTGTCCCAGGAAAAAGGCAGCGCTCTCCGGCAACGGCTATGCGGCTTCGCTCCACGGAAATAGCAGTTGACTCACAGCACCGCGCTGCTTCCCCCTCTTCGCTTCGGAGCCCGTTAGCGGGTTCCTTTGCGGGTTGGGGGGGCGCTAAGGGTGCCCGCCGAGTCCCATGGTCACAGGCTTCATCCACCTGTTATTTTTAAAAGGGTCCCCACTTCGCCGTAGCAGAAAAGACCCGTTTTGCGCGGAGCTAGTCCCTTCAGTTCAGAGGGAGTCCGCCATTGCCGATGGCGCCACCCCGGAAGTCCTCCAGACAGCCATTCCCTCCAAGCAGGGCGTTCCATGCCCTGCATGTTCCATTTTTCTTTCCAAACATTCTATGACTAATGAGAAAGCTCAGCATAATAGAATAATAGAATTGTAGAGCTGGAAGGCAAGCTGAGAGTCATGTATAAGGTAAGCAATAAATGTTGGAAATGTAAAGAAAAAGAAGGAACATTTTATCATATGTGGTGGGAATGTAAAAAGGTGAAAAACTTCTGGGAAATGATATACAATGAGATGAAAAAAATGTTGAAATATACATTTATTTAAAAACCAGAAGCATTTTTACTGGACATTGTAGGGGATGATATAAATAGAAATGATTGTAAGCTGTTTTATACGCAGTGACTGCAGCAAGAATATTATTGGCACAAAAATGGAAGCAAGAAGAATTACCAACGAAAGAAGATTGGAGGATGAAACTGATGGACTATGCAGAATTAGATAAACTAACGGGAAGAACTCGAAACTGGCAGGACCAGAGATTCACAGAAGATTGGAGTAAATTTACGGACTATCTGAAAAGTAATTGTGATGATCAGATTACATTTGTAGGTTTGCAGGAAGTTTTGTGAGGTGAATAATTTGAATTATTGCATAATTGGATGAAAAGGAAGACGTTATTTAAAATAATTAATTAAAGGCAATATGAATTTAAGAAATGCAGAAGAAATCATAAAAATGGGGGATCATCAGAGGTGCTGATGGAAGTCCAAAAGATTGTATAAGATGTGAAATTTTGTAGTATGTATGACAATTAATATGTTTTAAAATTATTATATTTTTTTTTTAAAAAGAGGGAGTCATGTAGTCTAACCCACTGCAGTGCAGGAATCTCCATGAAAAGATGCTCATCCAAGGAAGGAGTACCCACCACCTTCCAATGGAGTTCGTTCCACTATCAAACAGCTCTTAAAATCAGAAAATTCTTCCTGGTGTTTCATTGGCATCTCCTTTCTTGTAACTTGAATCCTTAGTTCAGTTCCTGCTCTCCAGATCAGGAGAAAATAAGCTTTCTCCACCTTCCACATGACAGCTCTTCTGATATTGTTATGTCTCCTCTCAGTTTCCTCTTTTCCAGGCTAAACATCCCCAGCTTCCTCCATCATTCCTCATGAGGTTTGGTTTCTAGGCCCTTTATCATCTTTATCTCTCCGTCCCTTGCTTCAGTGTCTTGGAACAGGCTACAGTCTGCTAGAAACCATTCTGTCTCACCAGTAAAACATGTCGCAGATCTTCGCCCATTGTTGCCCATCTCCTCTTGGCATCGTGAACTTTGATTGCTATGGTAACACCTGAGATATGCTTTATTCCATCCCCACTGGCAGTTTCCTCTCAAGGAGGCTATTTTGCTTGTGATTTTGCAAGGAAACTGAGGAAAGTGTTATAGGAACCTCCTGCAAGCTGTTAGGTGCCATGAGTGGTGGTGGCAGCGAGGAGGGGGGAAACATCTACACCCCTGTAAAGAGAGATATAAGGTCTAGGGGAGGGGACATTGTCTCTGGACACCGATTTGATTTTGTTACACAGCTCCTTAGTTGGCATAAACTCTTGACGGAATACTGCCAAATCACACCAGCTGAGTGCAATGGACTATCCCAGCATCCCACCTGGAATAAACCTTGTCTTTTCATATCTCAAACGAGATTAGCATTTTTTTGCCCATAGGTTCCTAGCGCAGGAAGGCCAAGTGCACACCCAACACACTCCTTTCTTTATTTTAAATATGTTTTATTAGGTTTTATAGAGAAAAATACAAAGCTTAATATCAAATATCTTCCCCCCTTTTTAAAATCCGAATTAAGGCTTTTATCTGGTCTGGAGGGGACTCTTGAGAGTCCCATGGACTGCAAGAAGATCAAACCTCTCCATTCTGAAGGAAATCAGCCCTGAGTGCTCACTGGAAGGACAGATCATGAAGTTGAGGCTCCAATACTTTGGCCACCTCATGAGAAGAGAAGACTCCCTGGCAAAGACCCTGATGCTGGGAAAGATGGAGGGCACAAGGAGAAGGGGACGACAGAGGACGAGATGGTTGGACAGTGTTCTTGAAGCTACGAACATGAGTTTGACCAAACTGCGGGAGGCAGTGGATGACAGGAGTGCCTGGCGTGCTCTGGTCCAGGGGGTCACGAACAGTTGGACACAACTAAATGACTAAACAACAACAAAAAGGCTTTGATCTAAATACAATAAAATAATGAAGAAGAAAAAGTGCCGAGAAAGGAGTAGGAAAAGAAAAAGAGAGAACTATAGAAAAAAGAGTAGAAAAGAAGTTAAAAGTGAAAGATAGAAAAAGCAAATTCAGAAAGCAAAGAACTTTCAATTCTTCATTTGTCTGCTATATATACTGTAAACAATAGTTACTTTGTCCCCAACGTGCTCCTTTCAATACCACTGTCAATATATGACAATGTCAATGCTATACAGTGTTTGCTTATTTTGACATCTCTGTCCTGCCTTGGTGCCATACTCAACTAAGTTCTAAGCAGAAATTAAGGTTCCTAAGTTAAGTCACCTGCACTAATTTCAATGGCTCTGCTTCCAAGGAAACTTCATCTTAGGTAAAGGAGGTGCAGTTGGAGTCAGTCCATTGCTGTACACACAAAGAGACCCTTGCTTTAAATGTGCAAACAGAAAGGTGAGGCAGAATCTGAACTGGTTCACAGAGTGCCCTGGTTTTCTTTCCCCCTTCCAAGAGATTGCCTTGTTATTTCAGAGGCAGCTTCACTCTGGTCTTCTTGCTCCACTCGAACGAGTTGATCAGTCGCCACGAATGCAGCTCATGTGCTCATAAAGCCTAAATGAAAAAAGCACCTTTTGAAGAGATGGACATGTCACTTCAAAGCCAAATCCACTTTCTCTTAGCACTGATGACTGCCAAATAGCCATGGGTGTGTGAGAGAGAACAGCGGGAGTTGTTGGCAAGGAAGAGAGCAGAGTGCATGGCTTGTGATGAATGATGTGTGTTCACCTCCACCTGAAAGCAACCAGGCAAGCGATAGATTCCCTGTCTGATACTCCTGCAGGAGAGGGGGAGAGTTATAGCCAGTATGGAGGACTTGCTTCCATCTAAGACCCCCCCCTTTAGCTGAAAATGACCCGCAGAGAGTCATTTCCTGGCGGAGATAATGGGGCCTGTCGTCTTCAAACTATTGTATGTGTCTCCATGCATTATTGTGATGAGATGTTGGTTTAATTCTTCCATTTGGGACTTAATATATTTCATGAGGGGGACACGGGTGGCGCTGTGGGTAAAAGCCTCAGTGCCTAGGACTTGCCAATCGAAAGGTCGGCGGTTCGAATCCCCGCGGCGGGGTGCGCTCCCGTTGCTCGGTCCCAGCGCCTGCCAACCTAGCAGTTTGAAAGCACCCCCGGGTGCAAGTAGATAAATAGGAACCGCTTACTGGCGGGAAGGTAAACGGCGTTTCCGTGTGCTGCACTGGCTCACCAGATGCAGCTTTGTCACGCTGGCCACGTGACCCGGAAGTGTCTCCGGACAGCACTGGCCCTCGGCCTCTTAAGTGAGATGGGCGCACAACCCTAGAGTCGGACACGACTGGCCCGTACGGGCAGGGGTACCTTTACCTTTACCTTTATATTTCATGAGGGCTACTTAAAAGGTAAAGGTAAAGGGACCCCTGACCATTAGGTCCAATCGTGACCGACTCTGGGGTTGCGGCGCTCATCTTGCTTTACTGGTTGAGGGAGCCGGCGTACAGCTTCCGGGTCATGTGGCCAACATGACTAAGCTGCTTCTGGCGAACCAGAGCAGTGCACGGAAACACCGTTTACCTTCCTGCCAGAGAGGTACCTATTTATCTACTTGCACTTTGACGTACTTTCAAACTGCTAGGTTGGCAGGAGCAGGGACCGAGCAATGGGAGTTCACTCCGTAATAGGGGTTCAAACCGCCGACCTTCTGATCGGCAAGTCCTAGGCTCTGTGGTTTAACCCATAGCGCCACCCGTATCCCTTGAGGGCTACTTGCCTGATGAAAAATCTAAATAGTCGGGAATGAGACAGTTCTGGGCAAACCTGGCAACAGTTGCCAGGGGAACCAGAACATTGCAAAAGTGGCAGTTGGGGCAGTTGGGCCGGAGAAGGAGAAGAGGAGGAATGGTTGTGGCGATGAGGAAGAAGGAGGTGTTGTTGTGAGTTTGTGAAGTACATCCTGGGTGGGGTGGGGGTGGGAAGACTGGGATCAGGTTCTGGGAGTGGTTGTGGTGGAAGCAGGTAGAATGGGATGGTTGTTAGGTGCAGGGAAAGATCCAGCAGACTGTGACACCAAGGAGAAGGATTTATTTTATTTTTATTGTATTTTATTGCATTTTATATCCCACCTTTTCCCATCCTACCCTCCTAGTGGTGCAGAAATAATAATAATAAAAGAAACTAAGCAGGGTTCCTCATGCTTTGTTTGTCACAGTTCGTTTCACGGGCAATCGAAGTCCTGGCTGGGGACGTTGGGACCGGGGGCAAGATGGCGGGGTGGGAGCAGGAACGGGAGTCCAGAAGCCAGGAGTCAGAAATCCAAGAGTCCGAGGGTCAGAGAGCCGGGAGTCAAGAAGCCAAGGGTCTGAGGGTCAGGAAGCAAGGAGTCACAAAGTCAGGAGTCTGAGGATCAAAAAGCAAGGAGTTGCGAAGTCAGGGGTCCGAGGATCTAGAACCAAGGAGTCAGGAAGTCGAGGGTCCATGGATCAAGAAGCAAGGAGTCAAACGCAGCAAGGCAGGGAACGTGTTGCTGTGGCAAAGAGCCGAAGGGAAAATGCTGACCTTATATCCCTTCCCAGCTCTTGCCACCAGGTGCTGTGAGTTACCAATCAGCCTCACCTGTGTGGCCACGCCTTGCCTCTTCAGAACAAACTTAGGAAGGCCCCAGTCCTGTAAAGTTCTATTGGTCACAGGACTTGGCTCCTGCACACACACCTGACATTGTATCTCCAAGGAGGTCAAGATGCTATACATGGTTCTCCTCCTCATCACTGAATCCCCACAACAGTCCTGTGAGGCAGATCAGGCTGAGAGGCAGTGACTGGCCTAAGGTCACCCACTGAGCTTTGTAGCTGAGTGGGGATTTGAAATCTGGACTCTCGGGTCCTAGTCCAACACTAGAGAAAGATTTAGGAGTTCGGGCGCACTGGACATGAAGCCTTGGAGAAGCCACCACAACTGTGATGTAGAATGGAAGGTGGGGGTTGCTGAATTTTGGCATTGCAGAGGGCGCTGGCGAAATTTGATACCCCAAAGTCCACCACTGCCAACCCTCAAACCACTGTCCCACACTGGCTCCACGTTGCCACAGAGGAGCACCCAGGGACCATTGCAGAACCATACAGGACCAGGCTGTAGAAAAAGAATGCAACACTGGTTCATTTTTCCCAGAAGGGATGCAGTCTTGTAAGGAGGCTATATGTGGGGAAAAGGTTATCCCTTCCATCACTGGTAATAAGGGTTGTGTCAGGAGGGGGTGGCATAGCTGCCTGGTTGGCAGCCCCAGGAACTGCCCAGAAGGTGATCCCGGTGGACCAGAAATGAGAGGGCACAGACATAGGGCAGGGAGTGCTGGTGAATGCACCTGGGAGAAAGATAAAGGGGTGGCTAAGATGTGATGCCCATGCCAGCCAAAGATGGAGACCTTCCCCCAGTCGCACTGGGCCTGAGGGTTAAACTGAGCAACACGGTCCAGATCTGGTCCCAAATCCAAGGGTTCTATGAGGAGTCAGTCCAACAGGGCCAAGGCAGGGCACGAGGCAGGAAACCAGGCAAGGTCAGGCACAGGATCTCAGGCAGGTTCTAGCAAACAGCAATGTTGCTCCCGCAACCTGGGGCAGGGTCTGACAGCCTTTTATCTTTGTCGGGGTAACGGCCGGTCCTGATCCCCTGGTGACTCACCTCCCTGTCTTGTCCGAAGGCGAGCACTCCTCCTGCGAGTACTCAGGTCTCTCCTTCTCTCAGACCTTAGTCTCTGCAGCTCGGGAGACGTCGGTGGGTTACTAGACCCAGGGGCTGCCTCAGCCTCCCTTGACCCAACTGGTAGTGGAGCAGCTGTAAGTGATGGCCCAGCTGAAGGCAACGAGGTCATCCCTGCATCTGGAGCCAGGAAAGGCTCAGGCCCCTGACTCGGCCCAGCTGGTGCTTGTTGCAGGGGAACCTGTGCAGACTGGGGCTCTTCAGAATCAGGCCCCAGACTAGGTTCAGATGCCGCCTGAGGCAAAGGATCCGGTGCGGACTGAGACTCCTCTGGTTCTGAGTCCAAGCCCAAGTCCCAGGCCATCACACCCACATACAGAATCCACGTGATGGGACAAAAATGGACCTGAGGGCAGCAGACTAGGCGTCAGGCTTCGGGGAATCAGATCTGCCCCCCCCCCCGTGGCAGTAAACAAGCAGATCAAACAAAAGGAGCATTCTTACCAGTTAGTTTCTTTAATAATCACAGTCAGAGACAAAGAAAGGAATGCATCTCTCTCTCGAAATCGCGGTTGCTTCCAGTAAAGGCTCACCCCCTCCATCCCCATTATTTACACCACTCCTACGTGGGTAATCTGAGTTTGTTGCCACTGAGCCCTCTGTTCATTCACTCTCAAAGCCCGACTAGTCTTAGGCGAAGGGGGCCAGGAATGCTTTCCAAGGACACTGAATCTGCCAACTGTCTCTCTCCTGGTGTTTCCTCTTCTAGCTGTTCCTCACCCAGTATTTCCCAGCTTTACCCCTTTGGACTATGCCCCTCTGCAAACCACTGTTCTAAATCTATACTGCCCTTGGGAAGGTTCAAGAGAAGGGGCGGCGGCCCCCACCATTCCTCCTCAGTCCAGCCCCTGACACTAGGTGGCCTAAAGAAGGCTTGCTTAGATCAATCAGAGAACATTCCTGTTGGGAATGGTGGGAGAGGATATTGACAAGAATGACCAGAAACTGTTCTTATACAGTGGTGCCTCGCAAGACGAAAAGAATCCGTTCTGTGAGTCTCTTCGTCTAGCGGTTTTTTCGTCTTGCGAAGCAAGCCCATTGACGGATTAGCGGATTAGCGCTATTAGCGCTATTAGCGGCTTTTAGCGGCTTTTAGCGGCTTATCAGCTTATCGGATAAACAGATAAGCGGCTTAGCGGCTTAGAAAAAGGGGGGAAAAGGGAAAAAAACCCGCAGGAACTCGCAAGACATTTTCGTCTTGCGAAGCAAGCCCATAGGAGATTCGTTTTGCGAAGCACCTCCAAAATGGAAAACTCTTTCGTCTAGCGAGTTTTCCGTCTTGCGAGGCATTCGTCTTGCGGGGCACCACTGTACGCAACAACAGCAGCGAGGTTATTGCTGGCTCAGGTGTGGAAACAGCAAAAATTGCCTACAATAGAAGAATGGCAGTACAAGGTTATGGAGTATGCAGAAATAGGCAAACTAACAGCAAAAATTTGACATCAGGGTGACGAAACATACCAAAAAGAATGGGGAAAAATTTATGTTATATATAGAGGAGACGATGTGAAATAGGGAAACCAGGAGATCTGAAATAAACCTCCTAATGGGAAAACACAAGAAATTTATTGGATAATAATATCAAAATGAATTAAAAATGTATATTAGGACTATTGTTGAACAATATTTGTAAATGAATATAGACAGACAACAAGAATTGTATATATAGAAAGATTTATTTGTTTACAGACATTTTATGGAAAAAATTTGAAGAAGAACAATTATATATAAAATGGACAAAGACAATGTGAAAAGTTAACGACGACATAAAAAAGCCGGAAGAAGGAAGGAGGGAAGTCAGCTCGGGAGAGCAAGAACAAATGTGAAATATAATGTATGTGTATGTATAGTATATAACTAAAAATTCAATAATGATCATCTTAAAAAGTAAATAAATAAGTAGATGAATCAGGGAAATTGCTGGGGGCGGGGCACAGTGCCCCCTGGCAACTGCAACCTAAGATATCTGTCTCACTCTGCCTAACAGTAGGGATGACTCTGCGGATACCTTCCTCTTGTGTGCTTTGGATACAAAAGAGCCCACCTTCTGAGCATAAAGGATTCTTTGCTCAGGAGCATTTTGCGTCTAAGAGACTCCCTAAGGAAGGAGGTACTGGTAAGCCCCATATGTTTCTCGATTGAGGGAAGTCTAGCAACAGGTACCAGTTCACAAGGCAAAAGATGCCTTGATCTCTCTTTTTCATCACTCTCTAGATCAGAAGGGCCATAGCTGAGTGGTAGAGCATCTGCTTTGCATGCACAAGGTCACAGGTTCAACCCCCAACATCTCCAACTGGGACAAGACTCCTTGTCTGAAATCCTGGAGGGCTGCTGCCTGTCAGAACAGACAATACTGAACTGGATGGACCCATGGTCTGACTCAGGATAAAAAAGCTTCCTCTGAAGGTCCTCCACATTGCTCAAGGCCCACAACCTTCAATGACATACCAGTTTATAATAATAATAATAATAATAATAATAATAATAATAATAATAATTATTATTAGTATTATTATTATTATTACCCCGCCCATCTGGCTGGGCTTCCCCAGCCACTCTGGGCGGCTTCCAAAAAAAATATTAAAATACAGTAATGCATCAAACATTAAAAGCGTCCCTAAACAGGGCTACCTTCAGATGTCTTCTAAAAGTCTGGTAGTTGTGGTTCTCTTTGACATCTGATGGGAGGGCGTTCCACAGGGAGGGTGCCACTACCGAGAAGGCCCTCTGCCTGGTTCCCTGTAACTTGGCTTCTCGCAGTGAGGGAATCGCCAGAAGGCCCTCAGAGCTGGACCTCAGTGTCCGGGTAGAACGATGGGGGTGGAGACGCTCCTTCAGATAAACTGGACCAAGGCCGTTTAGGGCTTTAAAGGTCAGCACCAACACTTCAAATTGTGCTCGGAAATGTACTGGGAGCCAATGTAGGTCTTTCAAGACCAGTGTTATATGGGCTCGGCGGCCGCTCCCAGTCACCAGTCTGGCTGCCACATTCAGGATTAGTTGTAGTTTCTGGGCCACCTTCAAAGGTAGCCCCACGTAGAGTGCATTGCAGTAGTCCAAGTGGGAGATAACCAGTTTAACATCATTATTTACCAATTTCTGTATATGGTCCGTGAAGCGGAACAAATTCCAAATAGAGTCATCCTCTCAAAGCTGACATTCTGCCATGATAAGAACTCCTTAGCTAATACGCAGAATGAGGGCCAGACGGCCTATGAACTGCATACCTAAAATAATCCTCAGCCACCGCCAGAGGGAAATGGATGCTAAACCCGTTGCAAAAGATATGGATTTCTGTCTTATTATTTATACAGCACCATCAGGACGCATTGAATTTTACAGTGTTCAAGATGGCACGTATCTGCTGCAGGATGCTGCCTGACCCTGGAAGGGCTTTCTCCATGTGACTTGATAGTAATAATAATAATAATAATAATAATAATAATAATAATAAATTTTATTTATATCCCGCCCTCCCCAGCCGAAGCTGGGCTCAGGGCGGCTAACAACAATTAAAATAATCCAACATTCTAAAAACATTCATTATAAAATTAATTAAAATCAAATTAAAATCAAATTGGTGGCAACCATTAAGCAAAATTCTGTGCAGATTGCCAGAGGAGGGGGTCAGGCTGCGCCCTGACCAAAGGCCTGGTGGAACAGCTCTGTCTTGCAGGCCCTGCGGAAAGATGTCAGGTCCCGCAGGGCCCTAGTCTCTTGTGACAGAGCGTTCCACCAGATTGGAGCTGCGGCCGAGAAAGCCCTGGCTCTAGTTGAGGCCAGCCTAACCTCTCTGTGGCCTGGGATCTTCAGGATGTTTTTATTTGCAGACCGTAAATTTCTCTGTGGGACATACCAGGAGAGGCGGTCCCGTGATCTCACCAAATTGGCCCAAATCACTTTGGGTTAGGGCCAAATCCTGTGGGTGGTCTTACATTTCAGTGCCTCTTTCTCCCAATATACACATTTCAAAATGCAATTTCACCCAACGTAAACATGTTTTCTAAAGCGATTCCCCCCAGTTGATGCATTTTATACCTTGTTTTCAGCAGTATATGCCTTTGTATGCGGACCTCACCCTTGTACACACCGACCGGCTGCAAAATTCAGAGAAGTGCAACCTTCAAAAGGTGGATGTGCTGTGGTTCTTGTACTGTTTCAGAAAGTCGGCTCAATACATTTTGGCGCCTGAGGCAAAGCCCAAGATCTATAGTGGGACCTGCTGGCTCTGTGTATTTTGCCCCCTGAGGCTGTCGCCTCACCTTTCCTGATGGGTGAGCCATACCTGGAATTAACTACATTTTCGGTAACATGCAACCTAAATTAAATTCCCCCCACAACCCTACTTATGAATGAATGAATGCAAATTGACTTAAAACAACTGGTAGTTCTGTCCCCTGAGGCTGTGTGGTTTGCCCAACTTTTCAGTTGCTTCAGCACAGTTCCCTCTCGCCCCACCAATTAAAAATGCACGTGTGAATATTGTCCATTGATAAAACCCTGAAAATTCAGTCATCCTGATGCAATCATGTTTCTAATGCTTTACAGTCCTCTAAGAAGGTCAACAAGCATATAGATTGATTTGGTTGACATGGTGTAGTTCAACTTTCAGAAAGCTTTTGTTTTTTTAATTTTTAATAAATGAAAATTATTTACAAAAATGCATATTAGGGGGGGAAATTGCTTGGGAAAATGTGTGCATTAGTCAACAGTGCATACAAAAACATGTTTGTTCAGAGAAACTCACACCTAAAATGTGAATGAATATTTGTGAAGATTATTTATGTGGCAGGGGGACACAAATGGCCGCAGAATCTGTAGAACTGAATTTAAGAATAGAAAAATGAGAAGCAGAGAGAAAAGAAATCAACGAATTATTTCTTCCCTAGGCCACCTCACCATTTGTAATTCTCTCCACCCCCTTGCAGCAAAAATAAAATATCACCTTTCCACCTAGCAGCTGATTCTGCCACCACCAAACAAATAGTCTGAACTTGTCTCTGCATTTATCCATCTCATAAGGACAGAGATGACACCTCGTTGGACCTCACTGGACAGAGGGGATGAGTTGTGAGAAAGTTCAGGAGACTGAAAATACGGACGAGGGAAGTGTGAAGCCTCAGTATTCTCCTGACAAATGGATGTAGGCAGAGGCAAAGTTCGGCGTGCTGTTTACTGAAGTAGGCAAGAGGGGGAAAAATGCATTTCAATTGGTCAATTTAGCTGTAACATGTTGGCTTCAAACCATCTCATTTTTCTCTTAATATACACACACAGACTTTTCATTTCAGCACTTAAGAAAGATCAAGGACTCGTGAAGCCGGGCTCTTAGGAGCTGATGCACAAATGAAAACTGTCTCACTGAAGCCATTTCTGACCTTGTGTATTTATAGGAGGCCAGGCAACATGCCCTTTCTAGCCACATTTTTGAAAACCTTGCTTGGCTTACAATGCTGGGAAGGCACAGCGGAGCAACACTGCTTTTGGTAATCAGATTTGATGTTGCCAGCATGGATGGCAGCAAATTGCAATGGGACTCTCAGTTGGGAAATCTGTGGAGATACAGGCAAGGCCCCCCCAAAAGAGTTACATAGTCCCAGGTCAAGGAATTGTGCTAGCCTTGGGAGAACACTGTACTCCCCACATGCTTTGAACAACAAAAGCCACTCTATGGGGTTCAGGATTGACAGAAAGCATTTTTAACTTTGTTGTTGTTGTTTAGTCATGCCCGACTCTTCATGACCCCATGGACCAGAGAACGCCAGGCACTCCTGTCTTCCACTGCCTCCAGCAGTTTGGTCAAACTCATGTTGGTAGCTTCGAGAACACTGTCCAACCATCTCATCCTCTGTCGTCCCCTTCTCCTTGTGCCCTTCATCTTTCCCAGCATCAGGGTCTTTTCCAGGGAGTCTTCTCTTCGCATGAGGTGGCCAAAGTATTGGAGCCTCAGCTTCAGGATCTGTCCTTCCAGTGAGCACTCAGGGCTGATTTCCTTCAGAATGGAGAGGTTTGATCTTCTTGCAGTCCATGGGACTCTCAAGAGTCTCCTCCAACACCATAATTCAAAAGCATCCATTCTTCGGCGATCAGCCTTCTTTATGGACCAGCTCTCACTTCCATACATCACTACTAGAGCCAGTGTGGTGTAGTGGTTAAGAGTGGTAAACTTGTAATCTGGTGAACCAGGTTCGCATCTCCGCTCCTCCACATGCAGCTGCTGGGTGACCTTGGGCTAGTCACACTTCTTTGAAGTCTCTCAGCCCCACTCACCTCACAGAGTGTTTGTTGTGGGGGAGGAAGGGCCGCTTTGAGACTCCTTTGGGTAGTGATAAAGCGGGATATCAAATCCAAACTCCTCTTCTTCTACTACTACTGGGAAAACCATAGCTTTAACTATATGGACCTTTGTCAGTAAGGTAATGTCTCTGCTTTTTAAGATGCTGTCTAGGTTTGTCATTGCTTTTCTCCCAATAAGCAGACATCTTTTCATTTTGTGACTGCTGTCACCATCTGCAGTGATCATGGAGCCCAAGAAAGTAAAATCTCTCACTGCCTCCATTTCTTCCCCTTCTATTTGCCAGGAGGTGATGGGACCAGTGGCCATGATATTAGGTTTTTTTTTTTTAACTTAGGGGTTCCCAAACCTGGCTCTCCAACTGTTTTTGGGACTACAACTCCCATCATCCCTAGCAAGCAGGACCAGTGGTTGGGGATGATGGGAATTGTAGTCCAAAAAAGACTATCCTCTCTATTATATAGTCCTCTATGAAGAGCTGTCTGAAAACAACCCCTTTCCTCATTTAATCCCCACAATAAACCCTGTGAGGTAGGTTAGGCTAAGAGGCTGCAGCTGGCCCAAGATCACCCAGTGAGCTTTGTTGCAAAGTGGGGATTCAAACCCTGGTCTCCCAGGTCCTAGTCTGAAACTCTGACCTCTGCACCATGCTTGCTCTGCTGCTTTCACTATGAAGAAGAAGAAGCTGCCAAAATGATCATGGCAAATAACAATACATGATGTTCTTTGGGAAGGGAGAGAATTGGAGTCAAGGCCATGGGTAGAGCATAAATGTATTTTCTGGGATCATTTTCGACTGGATGAGGCTGCTTGTTCCAGTCCAATTGACTATTGATTGGCTGGGCTTTTAACAAAAGCCTGTATATTATTCACTTGGTTACTTCAAGAGGCAGAATGTCAGTAGCTGTCTAGGAAACAAGAGCAGCATGGTGATGTTCTCGTTACCAGGACACCAGCCAGCGCTGCAGGGACCTATTTCCTAGCAAAAGTCATTACAGACCGACACTGACAGCTGGAGTCTGAATCAGGGAAGGAGGGATGAAAAGCCAGTTTCTGCAGCTGCCTCTCTGAAAAGGCAGGCTGGGGCAGAGTGTGTGTATATGTTTGTGTCCAAGGAAGATCGATGGAGAGGGTGAGGCAGTGGCATGCTTTGCCCAGAAGGGGGAGTCCGGGGCCAGACACCACCACTGGCTTTTATGATTGATGGTGTGTTTTTGTTTTTGACCATAAACCTCCTTGCGTTTCCTGGACCAGGGATAGGGAAGCTGTGGTCCTCCAGACATTGTCGTTCTACTCCCAGTCAGCATGCCCAATGGCTAGGGATGGTTGGAGCTGTAGCTCATTAACATCTGGAGGGCTGCAGGCCCTGTCTTAGAAAAAAGGCAGGATATCCATTTTGAAAATAAAGAAAGCAATCTCCTTTCCAGCTGAGTCTTGCACCGTTCTGCAAATGTCTTGCAGGTATCTTGCAGGTCTTCCAGTATTGAGCGAGGACCATCCGGGTCTGAGGCTGGGAACCTGCTCTTTTGCCTTTCTTTCTCCTTGATATATTTTGGAAATCAGCTGAAAGGTTGCGTTTTCAGAGAACTTTACCTGAAAGGTATTTCAAAATCTTTTCGTTAAATCCATAGGCTGAAAGGTTGCGTTTTCAGAGAGCTTTATCTGAACGGTATTTCGAAATCTTTTTGTTAAATCCACAGACTATACATACGGGCCCCACTCTGTGAACGTTTGCTACGCAAAAATTCACATTCAGACACAAGGAATTAGCACCCAGCCCTTGTTCAGATTCAGATATCTGAACAGAGAGCATTTTGCCTCCCTGTTTGCATTTTGCAGGTTGGCTGAGGAATGGAGCGAGGGAGGGGAGCAATTGGACAAACCAGAGAGCATTTTTTCAGGGTTTTGCTTTGCTTAGGGTGTGTGTGTGTCAAAATTCCATGGTTGGGAACGCATTGAAAAAATTCTCATAGAAATCAATGGGATTTGTGGTCTAATTTTGCAAACATTCACCTAACAAACCATTTCCAGGAATGTTTGGTGAGCAGGACTGGCATGTAGATAACAGAGCCTCTGCACATGCCTACTCTAAAAAAATCTCCTGTGAGTTCAGCTGAAGGAGGCTAGCTAAATGTGGTGTACAGGACTGCAGTCTAAGAGTGCAGTTCTAAGCAAGGTGAGAGGAGCGACTCACCACCACTTTTTTATTTTTATTTAATTTATTTATTGAATTTATATACTGCTCTATACCCGGAGGTCTCAGGGCAGTTCCAAAGCCTTGGACAGGTAGGTAAGACAGGTAAAAATGTAAAATGAAACGGCCCCAATCAAACACAGGGTTAAGTGCAAAGAAACCTCTCTCTGCATATAATTGAATTAAAAACTATCCAAGGTTCCACTGCAAAAAGAACTTCATTCATGTTCCGTTGTTGTTTTTATTTATACACCACTTTTCACTAGAAAAAGGGACGCAGGGGGCGCTGTGGGTTAAACCACAGAGCCTAGGACTTGCCAATCAGAAGGTCAGCGGTTCGAATCCCCGCGACGGGGTGAGCTCCCGTGGCTTGGTCCCTGCTCCTGCCAACCCAGCAGTTCAAAAGCACATCAAAGTGCAAGTAGATAAATAGGTACCACTCCAGCGGGAAGGTAAACAGTGTTTCTGTGCGCTGCTCTGGTTCGCCAGCAGCGGCTTAGTCATGCTGGCCACATGACCTGGAAGCTGTACGCCGGCTCCCTCGGCCAATAAAGCGAAATTACTGCCGCAACCCCAGAGTCGGCCACAACTGGACCTAATGGTCAGGGGTGCCTTTACCTTTACCTTTCACCAGAAAAGATCTTTGTAAGTGGTTTAGAAAGCAAACACAAAAAGGAATATGTAAAACAATAATAAATATATATATGTAACATCAAGCTCCATAACACGGAATTTCCCTGATTCAATACATCCTCTCAGTATCCACATCTACTAATGCAACTGTACCTCGATCAACCTATTCTCACGTGCTCTCAACAATTACAGATCCCATTGGAAGACACAAGAACTTCCCACGCTGGAGGAATGGCAGATGAAACTTATGGACTATATGGAATTGGCGGAAATGACTGGCAGAATCCGTGACCAGGGAGAAGAGTCGATGGAGGAAGATTGGAAGAAATTCAAAGACTATCTTCAGAAACACTGCAAAATTAAGGAATGTTAGAGTGATGTTGGATTGAAAATAAGTGGTTTCCAGCTGTACAGGTTAAAGCTAAGGATAGATTAAGATTAAAGATTAAGATTAAAGATGTTTAAAGAAATGGAAATTTGATAATAAAAGGGAAAAATTTAAAGGTCTATGACATTAAGAACAAGGATTATGTTTAAAAAAGCTGAAGTTATATAGTTTAATATTTCATTAAATTAAAGATTGGGTTTAAAAAAGTGGAAAAGAAACTGCTGGACAAATAATGTAGATTGGAATACAAAAGAGGGAGGTATGAGGAAGTCCAGAAAATAAGTAATTCAAAATTGGGAATGTAAAAGAGAGTTTGTTTTAAATTGTTATGTTGTGTGTTTTTATTGTTAAATTTTGTATTGTTTTTTTTGTGTGTGTTGTTTTTTCTTTTTTCTTTGTTTAAAACTTTAATAAAAATTATTCAAAAAAAAAAAAAAAACAACAATTACAGATCCCAACAATCCCCTGGGTACAGTTACAAAGGCTGCACTACAATACTAGCAGCCTATCGCTGTGAGGCTAAAATCACATTTAATCTAGGACAGGGGTCAGCAAACTTTTTCAGCAGGGGGCCAGTCCACTGTCCCTCAGACCTTGTAGGGGGCCAGACTATATTTTGAAAAATAATAATGAACGAATTCCTATGCCCTACAAATATCCCAGAGATGCATTTTAAATAAAAGCACACATTCTACTCATGTAAAAACATACTGATTCTCGGACCATCCACGGGCCGGATTGAGAAGGGAATTGGGCCAGATCCAGCCCCCGGGCCTTAGTTTGCCTACCCATGATCTACGACTATGCAACATTTATGAACCAGCACAAAACAGAAACGACAGCCCTTGGGCAGAATAGATGTAAAACAACAACAAAAAACCCAGAAAGCAGTGTGGAGGACAGGGAGATCACATGCTTAGAATGTGCGAATGGGATGGAAGTCTAACAGGAACACAGGTGGCACTGTGGTCTAAACCACCAAGCCTCTTGGGCTTGCCGATTGGAAGGTCGGTGGTTTGAATCCCCATGACAGGGTGAGCTCCAGTTGCTCTGTCCCAGCTCCTGCCAACCTAGCAGTTTGAAAGCACACCAGTGCGAGTGGAGAAATAGGTACCGCTGCAGTGGGAAGGTAAAGGGTGTTTCCGTGCGCTCTGGTTTCCGTCACAGTGTCCCATTGCACCAGAAGAGGTTTAGTCATGGCGGCCACATGACCCAGAAAGCTGTCTCCTGACAAACGCGGGTTCTTTTGGCCTGAAGCGAGATGAGCGCCACACCCCATTGTGACCGGACTTAACTGTCCAGGGGTCCTTTACCTTTTCTTTTCTTTTTTACCTAACAGTGCGATCCCATGCATACCCATCAACTTCAATGAGATTTACTCTCAAATAAGAATGAACAGGGCTCCAGTTTAAATAAAATGTATAATAGAAGTGTTATTCTATCTGGCTTCCTCTTTCAGGGACTCTGGGCCAATAGTTACAACTGACCATCCAACAGCAGCTCCCCATCAAACACATTTTACAATTAAGCAAGTTGAACAGGGTATTATGTAATACAAATATTTCACACAAAAAATCTGGTTTTGAGGGG